ATGGTGCATCGTGTAGCAGTTCTCAACGAACGTTGTCCATAAATAAACACATACATTGTGCAATAAAATTCCTCATACGGGATTCGAACCTGCGAACTCTCGCTGTCAATGCTTAATGGTTGAACAGATTCAAATAACCCCAGGTACATTGTATTACACAATAGGACACCTCGAGAGGGCGTTACACCAGATGAATCTGCAGTTACGACTGGAAATAAATAGTAATATATAATATAGGCCAAAATCAAGATAGCCGTAAACACTGTTAAATTATACATAAATCATCAAAGAAAGGTAAATATGATCGAATAAAGGACATGATGGTACATCGTGTACCATAGCTATCAACGAATGTTGACCTATAAATAGATACATTGTGCAATAAAATGCCTCCGACGAGATTCATTAAATAAGATAAATCTGGAGATAAATAGTAACATACAATATAAATCAAAATAGCCGTTACTGTTAAATTATATGTATTATATGTAAACCATCGCAGATATACATTATCTCTTCATCAGCTGATGAAGAGAGCAGGAGCTCTTGAAATATTCGTAGAATAAATTTTCTATATCCTGAAATGTCCACCGTGTTCATCTTTATTTTGATTAACTTCGTATTGTTTTATAGTATTCGGGATATACGTGCACCCATCATTACGATGCCTCTACATTATATCATATATATATAGTCATTGTTTATATTTATTAATAATAATATTTATTTGGAAAAACGCTTTTTTAACAGCGGAACACATCACATCACATCAATGGTGCATCCAAAATCAAACCATAATAATCAAAATCATTAAAACCAACAAAATCAAAACAACACAAAAAAAATGGAATGATTAGGGAGAATAATAGTAAACACTCTCCCTGCAGTTCAGAATTACAAGTAAAACGCAATTTGTAAATACAGGGTAGCCATTCTCAGGACAAGAATTAACTTAACCGCATTATTATTACCGCAAGATTTATCTCTATCACATCATTATTAATAAAAAGCATTATTTCGGTCTTGTCGTCAATTGCTGATAAGTAGAGGGCGTATCGTATTGATTTCTGTTATTTGCCATGCATCAAGGACTGGTGCTGTCTTAATATGCATGTGCGTGAGTGCAAAAATTAATCGGATTTGAATTCCCAACAAAACCTCAGTGGCCTAGTTGGTTAAAGGCGTCTGCATAGACAGCAGAAAGTCCCGGGGTTCGAATCACGAATGGTTCACACTCACAGCCTCCTCATCTTTAACGTTGAAAAATGTATTTATATATATTTAAAACATATGTAGGCCTAATTTTCATGTATATATTAAAAACAGTAAAGGAACGTTTCGTTGATAAGCTTGGCTTGATACGATTGTTTCTATTTCAATTCCCATCGATGCTCTCCAAGTTTCAAAAGCGCACCGTCTTTCGGATGAGACGTTAATTTGTTCTTTAACAAACGCAGTACACTTTTCGGAAAAGATTAAAAGATTGTCTCCCAGTATACTGCCCAATTCACCACCAGAAGGAATATGTCTTGGGATTGGGCATTTTGTGTACCCGTCTCTTATACACATCTTTATATCATATATATATAGTCATTGTTTAT